AGACATGCACATTTTAAACGTACTGGTTCTGGTGATAATGGAAAGGCTCTACAAAGAGAGCAGAAGAACTTATGGTCACTCTTCTGGCATGTCCCAAAACAGAAGTCTGCATTAACCATTGCTCAACAGCTCAAAACTAGCAAAGCTGAAAAAATGCCATTCCCTGTAGCTGGCACAGCAAGAAGTAACACCAGTATTGTTCATGTGAAACACGTCTGTTTAAATACGCCCACACTGATATTATCACTGTGAAAGTGTAAGATTTTCTAAGGTTGTCTCTACTTTTTCAAAGTAATCGCAAAAATTTTTTCTTTCTGGAGCACTTAGTGTGAACGTTTTCTCATTTTTGCTTTGTGCTTTCTGAATAGTTCCATAATACATAATAAACTAAGTATGATATAAAGGGATGCCATTTACAACCCAAATGCATATGCATAACTATTTTCTTTTGAAAACAGTATGTAAACTGCAGAGCAGTGATCGCTTTAGATATTCTACTGCTACCATTAAGTCATCCGTGAGCCACTCAGCTTTAGTAATGTTTCAGTGTATAATTATTACGTGTGTGTGTGTGTCATCCCACTTTGGCAGCTATGAAGTAAAGAGTTTGTTGTCTAGCAAGTTTCTCTCTGCTCCCTAATTTCAGATGTAGCAAACCCTGTAAGGTTGCAGTACTCCGGCACTGTACTTATCTGTGCTTTCCAGCAGCTGAGCAAACCGGATGACTGAAGAAGGGTGTTTTTGCGTTTTTAGGATAGTTTTGAGCTTGAATATAGTTTTACTCATTTGGCAGATTAGCTTCTTTGGATGTTGTCGCAGTATCAGCGGGCCCCTACTTTGAACTTCATTCGTACAATTCGGAGGCGCCTTGTCTATACCGAAATGCAAGTTTCGTAAGCAGGGTAAGTTCTCTGGGAGCTTCTGTGGGTGTTCGGTGTAGGTGTGATGCTTTTGTAGAGAGTGAAATCTTCAAGAGACAAGGACTAAACCTAGCTTTCAACTGGAGAATGCTTTTCTGTTGTGCTTGTTTCTGTTTTCCTGATTTATAAATCTGTATTTCTCCTGAGCCATGCCCCACTAACTCCTTGGGCATTCAAAGTGAACAAAGATAGATCTAATTTAGTTCATATTTGTCAGCCTGGTGCACTGTTACGCTTCCTAATTTCTGTGCTAAGGGGATCCAAAATATACTATCATACAAGCTAAATTTAAATAATATTTTCATCTTCTCCTGAAAGCTTCAGTTACTGTAGTGACTGTCAAAAATAAAATACCTGGCCTAATAGAATAGATTTTATTTCAACTCAGTAAAATTTCTTCTTTTTATTTAATATGGAGATAGGCAGGTAAATAATTTTAAGTATTTTCCTCAGGGAAAAACATTGCTTTTCACAGAGTCTTTTAAAATTTCTGTTAGGAAAACCTTCCTAGGAAAGAAAAAATTTCTCACTTTTTGATAGCACCTGATGTCTGTAAATGTCCCTCAAAGGTTTGAAAATCTTACAGAAAGATGAAACTCTATCAAGTGTAACTTTCTGCTGATAGGATTCGTATACCATAAATAATGCACAAAAGTCAAAACTAAGTTTTATGATCTTTCCCCTCGGGGAGGGGTTTTCTTTTTTTATGAGCTACTGAGAATTATGTTGTAGGTGCTGGAGAGTGTTGTGGTCTGTGCTGTGGATGTTCGAAGGATCCTATGAATGAAACAGCTATTGGTAGTCACTTCTACTCCTCTGCCCCTAAGGAAGAAGGACTTTTGACCTGTGATATCACAGCTGTTTCTTTTCATTTGTAGGATTCTCTCTTTAGCCACTTTGTTTATACTGTTTTTTAAGCTATAGAGGTATAGATATGTATGACTTTTCTTGTTCTCAGATAGTGGTGAGTCTGTGATAGTGTGCAAAGTGCCACTTACTGTCAGAGTGGCAGAGTCCCATTCACCATTACAGGTAAATGCCCTTTTCTTATCCCCAGCTTGCAGGAGGCGAGATGCTAAGTCCTCAGTGTCCTCAGAATCCCTTTCAAAGTAATTCTTAATACTGTAAATCAATGCAGTATTTCTGTCGCGCTGCCCACTTCAAATAAGCCACTTCCCTGGTGGCCTGTAAGTAACAATTAACTAGATAATGGGAGTAGAAAATAGTTACAACAAAAGAAGACACTCCATATCAGGTTACGTCAGCTACACTGCTTATGATTTGACATTCTTCAGACTGTTGCACTATTTTTCTCTATATGTCAGAGATTACTGCAGGAAGATGATGATGAAAGCAGCTGGTCATTAAACTAACAAGACAGAGTAAGGAAAGAAGCTGGTAAGCATAAAAAAGCTCCCATGACATTTGCATGAATATAGTTAAAACAAGAAGTGAGCTCTCTAGGCCGTATTGTCAAAAGCCCTAGCTTAGTTTTCATCTAAGCACGCAATTAGTTGTGATTAGAAATGAGAAACAGACGCTACCTCAGCACTGTAGCAAGGTGTTTCCACCATTGTGCCTGCAGTTATTTACTTGTGCAGACTGAGATCTCATTTTAAATAGTCTTTGTAGCTGAGAGTACGCCGTCAGATCTCCTATGTGCTTTTGAAAGCTGTAGTCCGTGTATACAAAAGTGAATCTTTCCTCTTTTTCCTTCCCAAATTGTTTCCTCAAATCACTGATGGTTCAATAGTCCATCATCCAATATGACTTCAATATTATCTTTGACTATTTTCACCTCTCCTAAAGCTCTGCTCTCAGGTCATTGCTGAAATCTGTGCAGTGAAAACTGGCTGCAGATGGGGCTTTGACTTGCTCACCATGCTGAAACGTGTTGCCATATCTGAGCAGCTCCAGCCTTGCTCACAAATGAGAGGCTCTTCCCTGTGTCCATGTGTGCTTTAGCGTTTTTAACCTTGGTCTTTATTTTTGCCAGCTCTTCCTACCACTCTCTCTGATGCCTCCAACTTCACACACCAACCAGCTGTGCCCTTCTCAACTTGACAACTCCTTTTGCTGATGCGCTTTTTGACCTATTAGTCTGTTTCCAACTATTCTTTTCCTTTAAAGTCACTTCTTTTGTGAAGCTATTTAATGCTCATCTCCATCTTGTTCTAGGCCCCTTGTATTTGATTTATGTCAAGTATCACTTTTGCCTCTTCCTCTGGATGGGAAATGTCTTTGTTCGTAAACTGCTATGTATTCTTTAGGTACTTGGTAAGAAGTAAATAGCAGAATTATTTATGAACTAAGAAAGACAACAGTAATTTGTTTTAGCTGTGTTAAGATTAAAAGTTTATCAGTGTATTCACTGATACGTGTTTGAAGACTACCTGAGTTGCATTTTCAAAGCCATAGACAAAACCCTTTTTCCTACCTCAAATATGTAATATCCAAGTTCAGTTCCTTTGTGCACTTACTGCAGTGAAAGCTATCCTGTACTTTGTATGCAAGTGTGCTACGTAAATCATATTTGCCATTTATAAATTATTCCTGTAAAAGTTGTGATATGAATTCTTAAGGAAATGCATCCAAACTAGGCATATTTCTGAGTTGCATTAGTGTGAACATGTCTACCAATGCTAGAAAACACAATAAAAATTCATTTTCATGCCTGTTTTTTATGCCAGCCTTTTCAAGGTAAGGAGTACTTTCCAATATTTCAGATTTTTTCTCTATTTCATTCAGTAACAAGAAATTACAGCTGCGCTTACATGTGTTTGGGCCTTGCAAACTCTCAGTTGTCTGTACTTGGGATTGAAAATTTCTCATACTTAAACATTTGCCATTTATGCATTAACAGATTTTCATTCAAGTATCGATGTATTTGATATGCCTGCCTCCTCTCATACCAGGTGTCTTGTCTTTTCAAACATGCTACACAATCTGCTTTCTATATCTTGATATTCCCATATGAAGAAATTCTAGTGCTAAGGCACATTAACAACACTGTGATAGGAGCAGAAAGTTTGTGTGTACATTTGTCACATTAAGGAAAAAGTGGAGGTCGGAGAGGAAAAATGTGTAGTTCATTTTGTTCAAACTTGAAGGCAAGTGATTTTTATCATTTGTCCTTGGGTATGGAGGGCACTCCCCTGATTTCCTTGGGAATGCAACCTCGTAAAACTTACTGTTCTTACATTCAGTGAATTTTACAGTATCCTACATTCACCTTCTCACTTTCAAATTACCCTTGATGATTTAAAATTATGCCCTTGAGTATTATATTGAGAAATAGGAAGATAGTTATTCATTATTACTTACAGAATTCATGTTGTGGGTGTTTATAAGCAGATAACATGCGTTAAGAATCTTTTGTGTCACGTGGTGGTGATCATTCTCGTGCAGTAGAGGCATGATTTTTTTCTTTTTCCCTGAACAAATGTTGAGAAGTGTCACCAGGACACAAAAGTCCTTGATGTTTTCCATGTGATTGTTTAGCTGAGCTCAGCCTGGGCATTGTATTCAGAATCTGCCTATTGCTTCTGCTATTCTAATGCAGTGAAAAGTTTCAAGGTTTTTTCTGTGTTCACTACCCTTTATGTCTGGAACCTTCTTTCACATGTTGTATCTCTCTGTTGCACAAATCTTTCTGGAATTTACCACTTTTCTGAAGTTATCTTGGATAAGAGCAGACTACTTAGATGAACTGTAAATATGCACAAACTTCAGGGCAACTTAGAAAAGTCACTGTGCTCTTCTTGTTTCTCTACATAACATATACTGTCATTGCAATTGTCAGACTTCCTTCAGTTTTATTTAGGCATGTGCTTGAACTTATGGTTCTCCTGGGTTTATGGTATCACTTTTAATGGCACTTTTCTTAGAACTTAATTTCGTCGGTCACGAATATAAGCCTCCAGCCTTGACATATAAAATGGCATCTATGTGCTTAGTAACTGAAAAATATCAAGATTTGTGTGCTTACTTGTGAAGAGACTGTAAATAGGCAATTTGGTCACTATACTTCCTTCAAATGAACAGGAGTTAAGTAACTGTGAATCTATCTACTGCAGAAACATGATTAAAGATAACAACGAAATTATTCCACTAATGGGCAAGAAATCAAATCCGTCTGGTATTCCCCCTTCAAACCAGCAAGAGAAAAAGACGACTGAAGGCACTCCCACAAAGAAAAGGTAGGACTCCAGCTCAGTCTAAAATCCTAAACCTCCCTGGTTTATCTCCTTTATTTGCACTGAAATATCACTAACATCTTTATTCACACTGCATTTATGAATGAGAGAGACCTGATGAATGCAAGGTGCCATCAAAAAAACGTATGCTGTTTAGAAGTGGACAAGTATCCCGATTAGGTAGACATAGGATGTGTTTACCCTAATGGGAGAAACATTTAACCCCTATCCTAGAGACACCAGGCTCACACACCAGTCTTTTAAGTTTGTGTCTCTCATCAGCTGCACTTTCTGCATCCACTCCATGTATCTGCATGATATAGCTTACAAGTATGTGGTCTAATGATGGTCAGCGTTTCAATGGGAGAAGATGGAGTGATCTTTTTAAAGAGATCACATAGCAGGGTACACCAGGTTTTATTTAAGAAATGCTGGCCTGAAAAAAGGGAGCATTTCAAACTTAGTCTCACACAGGAACATGGCAGGTTATGGAGAGGCAGAGGTGAATTAAAAAATGAAGGCTGGGAGAGCAGGAGGTTTGAAAAACCCTATCACAAACAGAAACCTGAATTTACTCTGTTTTTCTTTATTCTGATTAACAAGACTTCATTATTTTATTTTATAAAATACTCACTTTCATTCATAATTTATGCTAGAGAATTAATACAAGGATTAAGGGTTTGTATTTAATATGAATGGGGAACTATAAGCAGTAATTCATCCTTGATACTATGCTATTGAAGTCAACTAAGTTACTGTAGAGTGAGGACGAATTTTCATTCATAAACGTCTCACACCATGGCTAATTACTAGCTACTATAGCAATTTTTGAAACTCTGAAGGCCTAGGCAATTGTGGCTGTTCTGACATTTATAATTCTTAATAATCAGAGGAATCACTTTCCACAGAAATGGTGTCATTAGTAATTTGAGACCCACTGCCTGGGTGGCCCAATTTGTCCTTCTGCCATTAAATTAAAAAAGAGAAGCTCTTTGGTTGTGTAAGGGGGCGGGGGAGGGGGGGGGGAGAGGTGTCTGAACAGCTCACAGTATGCCTAGTACTTCAAAAAGGGGCAATTCCATGGAGGATTGAGTAGTTATAAGAAATACTGGCAAACACTACCCCTTAATTGCTTAAGCTCATATCTCGCATTCATTTTTGTGGCATCAGTAACAGTAATCTTGGGGTTTTTCCCACCTCTCAACCAAGAGCTCAGGGTGTGGCTGACAACATTCCTGTAATATAAGGAACGAAGATCATGTGAATTTTAATGCAGAGGTTTAACATATTTTATTAATTATATGTTTCTACGTTGCTGTACTTCTGTTGCTTCAAAATGCTTCCCTCTACTGTGTCACTAAGCAGCTAGTGCACCTCCACGGGTGCCATTTCTCACTTGACAAAATGTATTGGTAATGAGCACTTTCTGAAAAGACAATGAATTCCCCTTCTTGAAAGTCCTGGTATTTGGGTGGACTAACAATATATAATTAAGTACAGGAAAACCGACAGGCAGGGTGGGAGGAGTGCGGCCAACGTTGACACAGAGTGATTATGCTTGTGGGCAGTGTTCCTGAGAGTTCGCACCACAGCCACGTATGCACTTGGGTATTTGGTGGCAATTGTCCACCTGCCTTGCGTGGTGGCTTTTGGTGGCAATTGTCCACCTGCCTCGCATGGTGGCTTTTGTTCAAGCACCCCTTGCCTAAGTGATTTCAGGGACGCTGTCCTGCTAACCCAAAGTGGCATTTTGTTTGCTGCCTGCTTAGAATACATTCACAGGCACATCTCAAATGTTAAAAGGTCATATATGTTTCAACAACCACATACAGGGAAATAACACTTGTGTCACTAAGCCTTTGGAAAATGAGATTAACTACAGCCATTAGATCATGCTATTTTTAGCAGATATCAACAGGTTATTCAGTAGTGTCCTAATATACTGCATTTTAGCATCAGCATGTGTACTTTAATTCAACAGGATTCTTTGGGGAGATGCTGTCAAAAGAAAGAATAAATATCCTATGGACTAAACCATAAATATTAGAATCATAGAATCATAGAATCATAGAATGTTTAGGGTTGGAAGGGACCACTAGTGGTCATCTAGTCCAACCCCCCTGCAGTGAGCAGGGACACTGCTAACTAGATCAGATTGCTCAGAGCCCCATCCAACCTGGCCTTGAATGTTTCCAGGGATGGGGCCTCCACTACCTCTCTGGGCAACCTGTTCCAGTGTTTTACCACCCTCATTGTAAAATTAGGTGAATTGGAAACATTTTCCAGGTGACTACTGGATCATTTTAGAAGTGTAAGACAGTTTCTGAACAATAGGCCATGTGGGAGTTGCTACATCCACCACGGAAACTCCTCTGTCTTTGGTGAAATGTAGCAATGTTTTAATGAGATCTAGTAATACCAAGCCATTGATTTTTGCCTCTCAACTTTGCAGGATTTTAAAGGGTGAAATCTTCCTGTTCTTCTCATGTTCCCTTTTCTGTGTTGTTTCAAATTTCATTTCTTTTTTCTATAAGTAGGGAAAATAAATAGTTAATGTCATGCACTGACTGGCAGGATTACACATTCAGTCCTAGATGGTGGAAATGCCTGATGTCATTTAACATGTGACCTTTCAAACTTTCTGACTTACTAATTATCACTGCTGATGGGTTTGAAATGATCCATCCTGATGGCTCCTGGCTGGAGAAATAGGGACTAGAATGCAGTAGATTAAAAACCATATGCGAGTGTGTGTGTATGCATACATGTGTGGTTGTTCAGTAAATGTCTGGTGTTGCATTTAGCTGTTTGCACAGAACTTGGGTGCAAGGCTGTTTTTAGGCTGCTGGGGTAGCTGCTTAGACATGTCAGGAACTGACGCCATGTGGCCTAAAAATATCTCGGGATCTTTTGCCCTTCTGCCAGTATGGAAGTGCTGGGCGCAGTGTCGGAGCTTGGGATACCCCCAGGGGAAAAGTAGATAAGCCTCTGTTCCAGCGTCCTATTAGGTATAATGCCAGAAGAGAAAACATAAATTGTCAACCTTGTCCTAGGCACGTACATGGAGTGCTTTGCTTATTTTATGGTTGAACTTGCTTTTTCTACTAGTATTTTTTACATGTGCTGTGTTCAACAGTTCACACTTTTTTCTGGAGATTGATGGGTTTGAAAGCAACACAACTTCAAATAATACATCTCCCCCCGTGTTTTCAAAACCAATGGATTCAAATATTCGTCCATGGTAAGTTATAAATGCATATGCAATAATCATACTGCAAACAGATATACTTTCTTTTCAGTAGCTACTCCTTATTTCTCCTTAGACTTCAGAGCTAAAATTTCACATGGCTTTTCTTAGCTTTTGGTCACTTCAAAGACAGAACTCCACTGGAGGTCAGTTTTTGCTAGATGACATCTCTGAGTTTATCTACTGCTGTCATTTACACTGAATAAATCAGGCCTCAGATTTGAATAAATTTAAAATCAGTACTGTCTTTTTTTATCTTAGTTTCTTATTTATGATGCATTAGTACACATTCCATGCACCCGTTTGTGTATTTTCTACTGTGTGAAGCACACAGCTTAATTTAGCAAGCCCTATTCCCAGCTGTATGCTGACATTCTCCCTCTATTGCTCATTAACAATCAAACAACATGAAAATGCTGAGTCTGCAATATTTAAAGACAGCCATTTGTGCTGTATGAATAAAGAGAAATTATGACTGGGAAGAATGCACTTAATTTTTAAAAATGTGTGTGGTACTAACAGCCAATAATTATGAATAAGAGAAATATACATCAAATCTAGCATAAGCCCAGAATGGCCAAATGTTTTTGTGTCTGATGGATGTCTGGTCAGCTTTTTGGAATTAGCTGACAGTCTCATTTTGCTTTCAGAGGAGAGGTATCCAAATTTCTCCCCCTGATTCAGGGGCAGACCAGCACAAGACACACACACGCTTTGTCACCAGACTCCTCACGGTTTTCTGCAGAGACGTGATGGACTGAATAAGAATGGACTCTGAGCTACCAGCTTTATTTGAAAGGGAATATCTGCAGAACAATGCTGGATCCTTGCATTACTGTCCATACATCTGTTTTGTCAATAACTAATAGTTCAGGCTCCCTCAGTAGGTAGTTCATTCCCTCCCTGAGGTAGTTCATTAAATCTGAACCTTATACAAAATAAAAATACAAGTAAGAAAAATCATAATAAATTAATTTTAAAGTCAGATCTCCTTTTAGGAATGTCTGGAAATGATGTAGAGTAATTACAAAATACCAATGCCATTTAAATCGGTTACCTAAATATATATTTAGGGCCCAGTCCTCCTTTCCTTTTAGCTGAAGCTTCCATTCAAGTCAGATGCAAAATGCACTTGAGTTGCTTACAGTGTACTGTGTAGTAAATCTTTAGGTAAATCACTTTCATTGTGTGCTTGCAGCCCATGTACGGTTAGGTTACTGATTTAGCACTTGTTTTGTGGCAGATGACAAATTAAGCATGTGAAAAGGAAGAATGTAAGCTTCAAGCATTCAGGATGATGCATAAAAAGCGTTGAACATTAAAAGAAGTGGAAAAAAAAAACTTCCCACAGTTTCAGGATCTGTAATGAAATAACATAGTAAAACACCAAACACATTGCTTTCCTAATGATTTTTTAAATATAATAAAATCCTGTGTGTCTCTTCATTTTTACCACTTTAAAATTCACGGGGGAGATAAAATGATAGAATTAAAAAGCACAATGTCAAATCAGACTAATTTCAGCTCTACTCTAGATACTCCTTCCTAGTATTGACTGATTCTTCATTGAATTTGCTAAAATGCCTTCCACTATATTCCTGACTTAGCACTTAAACTTTTCTGCTTCCTATAGTGCATCTGGAAATGGGGAAGATATGGATTCCCCACAGTCTCTTCAGGATGATGCGACTGAATATAGCCCTAATGTCGACAGTTGTTGGTGAGTGGCAATGTGAAGTATCTCTTAGTACATTTTCAATGGATTTAAGTCAATGATAGGGTAGATATTACCTATTTTACCTGCCATGTTTTAGAAATAAGGTCATATGTGTGTGTGCATTTCTGATTCTTTAATAATTAAATTTTGAAATAAACAACTCTAGCCTCTGCTTTTCTCAAATCTCATTTTTAGTGTGAGGATTCTTCGTATATAACGTCAGTTTCCTAGATGACAACACAGGACCTAAACACCATGCACAACTAGACATGACCAAATTCTCAAAAATCAGTATTGTTTAGCAACAATACAATGCATTCTTCCTTCAAAAGCAAACTCTTGTAAGATAGAAAATATTTATTTTAGAGGTGAAGTATTGACCTCTGTTTCAATCACTATTAAGAAATATGTTAGCCTGATGGAATCAACAAAAAGTACTTGTTTAACATTTCTGAGAACTAGTAATCCTGGTAGTTGATTTCACTGGGAAGAGAAGAGAGATAGATAGCTAATGTATGAGGGAGACAGTTCCAAAGGACATCGGCTAGGAGTATTTCTGACTGGAGGGAAATTATTAAACCATTCTTATTGCAGAATAATATATGATCAAGAAAGTTGTGTAAGATATGAGCTTAAAAATTATCTTCTGCTGTGAGTGGGATGGGTGTAGCTGGAATGCAGCATCAGAGAACTTGAGGCACTGAAGTCAGCAGGTTGTGGATGGATCAGAGAAGCAGAGAAGTATTTCTTAACTGGATAAACTGGGAAAAAATGCAAAACAAAATACTTGAAAAATGTACATTTTTATTATAAAACCCCTCTCAATAGCCACTTATCTGCAAATAAGCAACCTGCAGAAATATTTTGAGATCCATGTCAGGAAATACATGGAAGTGGGGCAAGTGTATCTAGTCTGGGGCAAGTAATTGCATTTCTTTTTCTTCTTATGTAGAAAATAAAATAAAACACAGTAAATTGATTCAGCAATGTCATTATTATTCCTTATAATTCAGCGCTAACATATCCCAAGGACCTGAGCAGACCAGTGGCCGGAAGAAGTTGAAAAGATACATATTTCGGGCAGTATCCGAGGGGAATATAGAAGAATTGCAATGTCTGCTCGCAGAGCTGAAGGAACGATCAAACGCGTGTACAAACATGACTGTGCCAGGTAAGGTGTAGAGTTACCCGAAGGAAGACTGTTAGCTCTTCTGGCAGCATATGTGTAGTCTAAAACTGGGAAGCATCTCTGTGCAACAGCTACTTGACTGTGAATTTGCAGTTGCTTGTTTACAATGTAATGTGTGTCATATTTCCTATTTCTAAATGAAAACTCAAGGTATTCAATGAGCCACCTCCTTGCTGCCTCCAAGACAACTCTGGAGAGTATTTGTCTCCTATTTGTGATACACTGAGGATCTATCTGCTCTGTGGTCCCATAGCCATGCCTAAACTAGCCTTTGGCAGAGACTCAAAGCTGATGCCTCTCTTCAAACTGCAGTATAGACAGGGCTTGTGATGTGTGCAGCATGGTAGAACGGGCAAAGAAGTTAGGAAAGGGTTCAGGGTCTGTCCGGAGTTACCATGGCAGTGGGACATCCAAAAGAGAAACCAAGTGCACTGGCTACCTTATTAATTAGTGCCACATCTCTGAATGCATTGTCTCACCAAGTATACGTAACTCAAATACAAAGTGAGTGGGGGGAGTAATTTTTTGGCAAATAATTTATGTTCATATATATTCCTCAGGTTCCACCCCTAATAAACAAAAGATTAGGATTATTTTCCATCCACTTTAATAAATAATGATGATCTAATCTCAAAATTCATTCTTGTAGATTATCTGATGAAAAAATTCACAGCTTCAGATACTGGCAAAACTTGTCTGATGAAAGCTCTGTTGAACATCAGCCAAAACACAAATGAGATCGTGAATACGTTACTATCCTTTGCAGAAGAAAATGGTATTTTGGAGAGATTTATCAATGCAGCATACACAGAAGAGGCATATAAAGGTATTGCCATATGATACCAATTTCAGGTATATGGTTAAATATACCATCCATAAAAGTAATGTTTTCTTCAAACTTGGTAATCACTGTTTCAATTCCTAAAACATCTTTTATTCGTTATCACTTGGTGCTATCCATTGTGAGACATCATTAATGTTTCACAATGTGCTTAAAAGATTCAACGCTAAATACCTGTGTCTGTTGTTTCAGGCCAGACAGCTCTAAATATTGCCATTGAAAGAAGACAATATGAAATAACTCAGAGCCTTATAGAGAAAGGAGCTGATGTCAATGCTCATGCCCAGGGTATTTTCTTCAATCCCAAACATAAGCATGAAGGTTTTTATTTTGGTAAGTGGAAATGCGATCTCTCTGGAAAAGTTAGGAAAGAATACACAACAGTTAAGATGCTGTGGAAGACAGGCAAGTGTGTGAATCATTACTGTAGCTAAACCTAGATGAGGAAACTCGCATCAAAAGTTATAAAAATGGCATAGTACCTTTGTAAAAGTAACTTGCCAGAGTGCAGTATATTATAAACACTCAGGAAATATTGTAAAACATTTACAAAAAATTTGAATATGCTGAATGGCAAACAAAATGTAACAAATTCGATTTTGAAGATTTTCTCCAAATAATGTTATCATGCAAATTAAGTTTCTATAAAACAAGAGCTAAATTCAATACAATCAATATGTAAATGTGCTTTCATATATTAAGATGCTTAACACAGTCACTCTTTTGTAATATGATTTGAATGCTTGTAATAAAACATGAACACTTGTTACATTTTATAATTTTGTAGGTGAAACTGCACTGGCGTTAGCTGCGTGTACCAATCAACCAGACATAATTCAACTGTTAATGGACAATACCAGGACTAATATTTCTTCTCAGGATTCTAGAGGAAACAATATCCTCCATGCATTAGTTACTGTGGCAGAGGACTTGAAAACCCAGAATGACTTTGTAATCAGAATGTATGATATGATTTTGTTGAAAAGTAAAGACAGATATTTGGAAACAACAAGGAATAAGGAGGGTTTGACACCACTACAGTTAGCTGCAAAAACTGGGAAATTAGAGGTGGGTATTATTTCTAATAAGCATCTAAGAGAAATTAAGTATGCAGAAAGAGTCAAGGCCAACTATGTACTTAGACGTTAGGGCTCTGACATGTAGTTTTCCATGCTGGTTATGCTGTACTATGTGTCAGTAGTATTTGCTGAGCTGATTTTGTTCAAAACACAAGCAAATATTTCTGTTGCAATGTTGCTTCTACCCTTCAGGGTTTCCCTCTAACAACCCCTCTCTGTACAAAATATACATGCTGTTTAAAAACAGCCTTGCAAACCCTTCTGTTGTACAGAAATTCAGAAATCATGCATTTATTACAATACTACACTTATATAGTCTTTGACAGAAAACTCACTAGAACTGCTCTGTTATGCTGCTGTAGAATTTGGCTCTCATAAATCAACTGTATTCTGGTAAAGAATTGACAATGGATAATTTAGAAAGTAATTGATTAAGTTAAAGGAAAATATACATGTGAACACATGGAAAATTTTGCTTTCATGCTTTAGAAAAAAAGTCTCTGACAGAAAATCTGGAGGCATTAAAAATACTGTATTTATTTCCTAGAGGTCTGTCATCTCTAGCACTGCTTACTGAATAACAGAATTACAAATACATTGAATTGTACTACTGTAGAAAATGTGATAGCTAAAAGGTAGGGGGGTTGGCAAGTATGTATGTGTGTTTTCGCCTTTCCCGTGAAGAAATCTGCTTACAAATGATTCTGTTAATGTTTTAGATCCTGAAATATATCCTGAGCAGAGAGATAAGAGATAAGCCTAACAGGAGCCTGTCAAGAAAATTCACAGACTGGGCTTATGGTCCTGTTCAATCTTCTCTTTACGATCTGACAGAACTAGATACCACCGCAGACAATTCTGTGTTGGAAATTATTGTCTATAATACAAATATTGGTGTAAGTTACTTCTAACATTTTTTTTTCTAGCAGTACACTAATTTCAGATGTGTTAGCCTAACACTAATTTTTGGTTCTCAGTTTTGTATCAGGAGCGAGATTAATTTCATACCTCTGTAGACTGTCACTTGTCAGTGAATATGCATTCAGCTCCTGAAACACTGCTAAGCATTTTGGGACTGTTTTTTCTACATTTGAAGTGTTAATTTGCCTTGCATAGGGACACAAATATGGCCCAGCTGGTCAGACCAAAGCTGGTGTCTTGTCTCCATGGAGTGGCTGCTGGCAGCTGCCTAAGATAGCGCATGGGAAGAGGGCAAGCAAACAGAAATACTTTGAGGATAGTCTGCCTAAAGTTATAAACTTTACTTAACAGGTATGAATTTTAGGTATTTAGGAAGACACAGAATGTTAGATTTTCAAAGCCAGAATTTTACATTCGCTAAATTCAAATGCTGCCATAAAACTTCTGTAGGAAGCAAGACCAGAGTTCGCTTTACAGTTTTAACTCAATCATAATTTACCAGACTATGGCAAGTTATCCCAGCATGAGTCGGAGTTGTCCCACTGTGTCTTGTCAGGTTAGGGTCTGACATATATGATGTGCTAGGGTCTGGGTATAGATGTGTTTCTAGATCAGCAAGGGCAGATACTGAATGAAATACAGAAAAATACATGCCTGAAATGATCTCACTTTCCTTACAGGTGGCAAGTTCAAATTGTAATTGTTTTTTTTCTTACAGAATCGTCATGAAATGCTGACTTTGGAGCCTCTGAATTCACTCCTGCGAATGAAATGGAAGAAGTTTGCACGACACATGTTTTTTATGTCATGTTGTTTTTATTTCCTTTACAACATAACTCTAACATTAGTTTCCTACCACAGGCCTAATGAAAATGAAGTGAGTACAGAAACTTAATCTCAGCAAATTTTTCTGCTTTAAAATGCAATAGTATTTCCTGAATGGTATTGAAAACGCTAAACCAAAACCAGATACCAGAATATCTGGCTGTAGTTGAGACCAGGTTGTCCCACATCAGGTCTTTGTACCTGGAAGGAAGACCAGCAGTAATAGAGGAGATTTGCATTTTTTAAAATGACGCAAAATACAAAAATGTAATACAAAGACAGGTAGTGAAGTTTCTAAAACTGTGGGGAGGGCTTTTTGGTTTTCTTTGGTATTTCAAATATACATGTTAGGGGGCCGATTCTGTAAATCCACCAGGAAGAAAACTCTCAGTGAAAGGGAAGGAATTGGGTACCCAGAGAGCTACATACGTGAGGCTTCCTGTTACTTTGCCTTTTTACCCTTCAGGTATGGAACTCAAGTCTCTCATTTTGGACCTGTCTTACAGGCTCCACCTTATCCGCTAGCTCTAACACGTGGTGTGGGATGGCTGCAGTTATCGGGACAGGTGATGGTTATGTTAGGAGCAATATTTTTAGCCATAAAAGAGGTAAGACTTTTTAATAACAAAGACATAAAAAAATAGGTAAAGAACTTCTCTAGATTGATGAATACACTGATGATGATCTTGGAAATATGTTTGGAATATCTTTATATGTGTAATGTCTAAAAGTCTTTGGCACAATATGCCACTTATGCAGAATGACCTTGAATATATATTTGAATATAACTGTATTGCTCTGGGAAGCAAATATGAGGGTTCTCTTCCTTCAGATTCTCAAGACAGAGTTTTTATATTTGTATAACATTGATGTCAAATTACTGGCTTTAAGGACACTGTTGAATTAGAACTTGTAACAGGAAGAAAACCCAGGGTATAATTTTTACCATATACTATAAGTAATTAAAACCAGTAACTAACTGTTAAATTATACCAGAGATGACAGAAACTTAAACTCCAAAGTTACAGCCCTATAAAAAGATTTTTTAATTCTACAAGTTATATCTTATCAGTAGACTGATTTTGGGTTTTTTTCGGAAGACCAACTTAAATTATTTTGAAAAATCAATTGTAAGGCCTGCTTTTTCTTACTACCATTTCTGTATTTTATATATCTGCCTACATAGAGTGTAGCCATCTTTCTGCTTAGGCCCTCAGACCTGCAGTCAATTCTCTCTGATGCGTGGTTTCACTTTGCATTGTAAGTCTGTCATGCATGTATTTTATACTATATATAAAAAGTTTATCTCTCTCATGGTCACAGAGTATGTATTCCTGTAGCAGATGCTCACTTTTTCTCTAGAGTATCAGTTTTTAGAGGGATGGACATAATCCTACATGCAGCTTTTCTGTAACACACACTAATGGTTGCATGGGTTGGTAACAATACCAGGGGTTGATGTGTACGGACTGGATTTTTTCTAAAGTGCAGTACTGTCTTTAGCTTCTCCTGATGCTGGTTCAGCTGGCGGATGGGAGTATCCCATCAGCTGGCCTAGATAAAGCATCGATTATTCCCTCTAATTTCTAGCATATGATTGTATGGGCAATAGAGAGGTGGCTTAACTCTACCTTTCTTCCTCCTCCTACAACCACACTGATATCAGTCTTGCACTGCTGAGAATCTGGTCTACATCCTATCACAGCACATGACACCTTCTACTAGTGTCTGTCGTGTTCATGGAAAAATCCGTAATGATTCTAACAATTCATTAAGCTAAAGCTTGAGTTAAATGACTTCGAAGATACTATTCAGAATTCTTAATGTCTTTGTCAGCAAAATGTGCATTGACCAGCTATTCTGGGGAGAATGGTTCACTTAAAGTAAGCTTTAATAAACATAAGCCTGATATGTTAAAACACTTACACTACCTGTGCTCATCTATTTTATTGTTAAACTGTAATGGTAATGTTCATGGGGGAGAGTAGAATGCAGTATGAAATTAGAACTGAAGCAAAGAAGTTTTGTTTTTGTATTTTTCCATTATGTTGTTGGTTTTGTGCTAGTAATTTCCCTTTTACATACCTGTGTTTGTTTTTTAACAGTTTTATACAAGCTTTGCTTGTGATCTTCTCTGTCTTTTTGTACTTGTTTTCCTACAAAGAACACCTAGTGTGTCTTGTTTTGGCAATGGCCCTAGGATGGGCTAATATGCTCTATTTCACCAGAGGTTTCCAGTCCATGGGCATTTACAGTGTTATGATTCAAAAGGCAAGTTTGTTTTGTTTTGTTTTACCTTACTTATTATGGTACAATCCCAATCAAGCATATTCAGCAATTTAGATGTATTTTATAGTTCATATTGAAATTTTTTATTTTCAGTTTATACATATTATTTCAGCAGAATACATACCTTCAATGGCAGTTTATATTCTTAAAATTAACATTTCATTATATTAAATATGACTGTAACTTCTGTTTTTTCAGCTAATGTAGTTCTGCTATTTAATTGCATCATATGATGTAATGCCTATATTGTTCAGAGTTAGTCACCCCTGGGAGTACAAAACACACCAGGTGCTCAGTCACAAGATAAAAAGTCAGACCTAAATCTTCTCTGGGTTTCCCACTGAGGCTACAACCGGTTTGCTTAATGAAAGCAATCTGACACTTTAGTGGGTACCACACCTGTATCCCTGCAGAATTCATAAGCATAAAATTAGTTCTCAATTTTCATTTCTGATCAATATTTAATTTAATTTTTAGGTCATCCTGCAAGATGTGATAAAATTTTTAGTTGTCTATATCGTGTTTTTGCTGGGATTTGGCGTAGGTAAATATTACTGGAGAAAAGCACTGATGCTCTGTGTGAGTAAAAATGTTAGTATTATTATGAATAAGAACCCTATTGTCATGATGAGAACTCATGCTGGAGTTTCCTCTGGATATTAAAAAATCAAGTTTAGAGATTTAAACTGTCTGGAGACTTATCTGAACAGATAAGTAATTTGGCTCTTGCTCAATTGCCTGCAATTTCATTTGGACATGGGCTCTTTCTGCTTCCTGGTAATCCGTCATCTAGCTGCTGCTGTGTACGTTGCTGGGAAGCTCTAGCTCTTTATTAAGCAGTACATTTTGAATTCTTTAGGATAAAATGCCATGTATACATAAAGCATGATTGTAATTAAAATTTTCTCGTGCTTTCTTCTCAGCTCTTGCTGCATTGACCGAAACTTGCCCAGGTGGCAGTGAATGCCATTCCAACAGCCGTCTGGGGCCTGTTCTGATGGATCTTTTTAAGCTCACCCTAGGACTGGGTGATCTGGAGATCCAGCAAAATTCAAAGTATCCTGTCCTATTTCTTCTGCTCCTCATAACTTACGTTGTGTTGACTTTTGTTCTTCTCTTGAACATGCTGATTGCGTTAATGGGAGAAACAGTGGAAGATATTTCTAAAGAGAGTGAGCACATCTGGAAACTCCAGGTTGGTTTGTGAGTTAGCTTGCTTAGTGAAGTACAGATGCATTGGCTAAAATTTTTTGAGCTGTACCTATGGTAACTTATCATGCTGGCAGAAGGGGTTAGCTATAAACAACGACAATGCCCATTTGTATATGTGTACAAATAATGGAAATAAGTAATTTTAATATTAGGGTATTGTAATAACTTCAGAATTAACAGCTATCCTAAAGGTAATCTTACGGCTCAGATTTTCAGCCTCATGCACTGTCATGTACCTTTATGACTTTCATTCCCCTTGGTGTGTCAGGAGGAAGGTGTCTTTCATTATCTGCCCAGAAATCTGTAACACAGCATGCTCTGCTATTCCATCCCTTGAGTCTGAGAAATGCATGAGTTCATTCCAATTTCTCATACCTTATCTGAGCCTGGTCTTTTACCAAGGCCAGACAGCTCTGAGTCCCAAGCTGTCATCGAGAGCAGAGTCATAATTAGGATTGGGAGTTGCTTTCCGTGGTGGGCAGCATCCCACTACAGGTTATATATATCCCCGTGGCAGGGAGTTGCAGGAAGGTGTGTTAGCATTAAACCCTAAACACTGAGTCTAGACTGAGCTTTCTTTTTTCTTCTCTGAGTGTGCCTTCTGTGGTGGGGCTAACTGGAGCAAGCTGTGGACTTCTGATCTGCACATACCAAATAATCAGCAGCATGCCATAGTATTTACTGGTGTTGGAATTGGTGTTGGTTATGGATGGTGGATGGAGGCATGAAATGTGGAGCCTGCAAACTGCATATGTTATGAAATCAGACAATTTTGAATATGGTTAACCATACTTGTGTTACTATTTACTGTTAATAGAGAGCCAGAACTATTTTGGAATTTGAAAAATTCTTACCAAAACGTTTGAGGAAAAAGTTCCAACTGGGAGAACGGTGTAAAGTGGCTGAAAATGACACCAGGGTGTGTTTAAGGTAAAGCAAAGCTCAAAGACTGTGCTGACGATTCTGCTCTGTATGTTTCAAGGTTACTTCTCCTCAAAAGCCTCTTTTAAATATTTCTACATCTCTACAAATTATACTAGGTGTACAAAAATCCAATTTATTTTTTTCAATTTTAACCAATTGTTTAAAAAAAAGGGAAAATGTATAGGGTTTTTTATGTTGACAATTTTTTGGTGAGAAAACAGATTTTCAACTTCATGTGTTTTTAATGTACAAGTATCAAGTCTGCTTGCAGTAAATGTACTTTCTCATAATCTCTTTTGAATGTTATCTTAAAAGTAATTATATTTAAATTGGTAATTAATTATTATCATATTAAACAAAATATTACTATGCCACTTTACGAAAAATACTTGAATATTTAAGGTGAGTTTCAAGACTGTATTCATAATGTGTGAAATTATAAAGTAGTCTTAGTATTATTCTCATCTTCATATGGTACACACCACTGCAAAAGACATTCAGCCTTCTGGTACTAGCAAAGCAGGTGTTGATGGTGAAGTATGACAATCCCAAGCAGGAATAAAGAAATAAAAGAAGTGCAGCTGTGTATCTGGGAGATAATGCATGCTAATAACACAACTTATATACAATATAAACAGGATTAATGAAGTGAAATGGACCGAGTGGAAAACACATGTTTCATTTATTAATGAAGATCCAGGGCCAACAGGTACTACAAAATTTTGCAACACCATATTTTTGAAATAGTTTTTTTCTCAGAAATGCTTTGATATATAGTTTTATATCTTTAAAAATATAAACTCTCATAATCTAGATATTCAACCACACTTTGTAGCTAGGGAATCTCATGGCTAATATGGTAGGGGTGTTAAATTATTTTTAAAGATTTGGGGAGAGGGTTGGTTACAAACTCTTATTATTTACACCTTAGCACCAAAACGTGCTGGTTTTACCTTTATTTTTCTTTAAGCAGTTACACTTGATCGAAGTTTTACATTCTCCTATGGCATTTGACTTGTATAAGGCCGGAGGACTGTTTAATAGATAGAAAATGTTATTTTGAAAAAGTTCTCACAAAGTACATTTAGTCCTTAAATAGTTACATATAGGACTGCAAAATTTGGCATGAAATGGGTCTGATTCTACCTGACAATACTGGGGTCTGCTGGTTTTAACCCTAGGATATTCATGTTTATGTTTTGCTATATATATTGGATGACAAATTGCCCCTCATGAATGTTGACCAGGAAATTCAAGATACCCATCTGCTGACAGTGTTGGAAGTGGAATAGAGAAATGACCTAACTTTGAGGTGTCGGATGTCCTTCTGGCAGCAGGCATCAGAGTTTACGATAGGGGCGTATGAGGATCTGGGAGACTTGTTCTGAAGTTTGTTCTTGAGTCAATTGGCATTTATGTTGCTTAGTAGAATGATCTCAGTAATGACAAAAAGGGGCACAGAAAAAATTCTGCGTAAGATATGGTAGTAAACTGACAGCCTCTTGTTTAAATAAATGCATGTTTATTAAAAAATAGACATGCAAAAATTTGATCTTGCATAAACAGTTTCTACCATATCCTGTTTTGTTTATAATGCATTTTTTTGCAGATCCAAGCAAAGTTCAAGATAATTCAAGAACTAATAGCAAAAACACCCTGAATACATTTGAAGAAACGGACGATTTGCCTGAAACTTCTGTTTAGTCGTGCTGTATTTGATATGTGGTCGTTCTGAAGGTTAAAAGCATCAGCAGTGGATGCTGAAAGTTTTGTTGACATTTTGGACAGCTGTAACCAGCTGGAACACAAACTTTCAGTGACATGGTCTGATGACTATAACCGCTTTAATCAGGGCAGCTAAGCTAAAATAAAATGGACTATTTCACTGGTTTAATTTTGAGCCGCTTGAAAACCGTTGTTGTCCGAGTTTGCGTGATGCTACTCGAACTTGGCTCTAGGCTTTTTACTGGATAAAAAAGGTCAAATGTGAGCTATTTCTTCCTTTTGTGGAAAATTAAGATCACTGTGATCCCAGTCCACCGTCTTTTGGAATCTCTAGCTCATGAGAAACATTTTATACACTGAAAAAAGTTAAGTTCTTGTTGTGGAGAAAAGCAAGGCATTTCAATTCTGAAGACTACTAAATGAAGTATGTTATTTTGAAATAACAATATTCTGGATACATTTGAAGCTTTTGTATTGACTGTCAGTGTTACTGGAGGCTTGATCCCGCAAGTTGGAGAAAGCCTCTTCAGGTCTCATTAGCTTTGCCTGATCTGTTTTCCTGTATGTAATCCTTAGGGTACAATGCAGTGTTTCCTGCTTTTTATTTATTACTATGTATATATGCCTCCCCGTGAAATAATAGGGCAGAAACGTAATTCATGATGGAGAATATTTCCGAGTTTGTTCCAGTCACAAGGTCTTCACTTTTCCTACTCAGCTTTTCCATGCTGTTGCATCTTGCTGCATAAAAAAAAAAAGTTATCACATCAGAAAAACTTTAAGTTTAAAAGTAAATTAATTTCTATATTCGGCCACTTCAGAAAAATAAGAAGTCATTATTTCTTCCCAAAATTAACAAAGTTAAATGCAGTGCAATTGCAGACTTCTAAAGCTTCTTTTTTTTTTTGTTCAGAGGACTACGTAATGCATTTCCGTAGCAGTTTTTATTGTTTTCATTTCACTACCTGTGATGACCTAGTACTATGAATTATATTTTTAGTTTTCTATGAGTGTATGTATAAAAAGAAATATTTGTTCTTTTCATTTGTACTTTTAAATTTCAATTAATACCTTATGTGTCTTCATCATCATACATATTGATTTGGTGCCTGTTTTAAAGGTGCTATTTAGGAAAACCTCAGGGGAATTCTGTTCTGTTTGGATGATAATATGAATTGCGTTGGATTCTTACAGCTAAGCCTGCTGTGGGCAAAATGATCCAAAAGACTTTCTTACCACAGAAGAGAGCATGAGGGAACCCTCCAGCGGAAAGGATAGTGCAGAGCTATTGGCAGGGATGGTGAACGTGGTTCTCGCTACCCAACCAGTCTTCTATAGATGCCGTATCCTGCGTTTCCTACTGTGTATGGCCTGGATGGATGGGATCACATTGAAATCTTCAACTCAGTTATGCTTTTACAGTGTATAGGAATTTGAGGGGAAGGATATTTATGTGTATCAATAGACCAATATAATATACCTGAGCATTGTTTGGCTGCCTTAGGATATGTGAGTATGAGAAAAAAAAATTCCTGTGGTCTTGGAATCTTTCATCTTTGCTAGTTAATTTTACGTTGAAACTGCCAACAAAGTGCATTAGGACTATGCACTTCTGTTTGGATTCTTTTGAGTGCCAGTTTTTGTACCAAAAAAAGAATACCTCTTCACATATACTCAGGAACCAGAATAAATGAGCCTGCGCTGTACTCCGTGCTGCTATGGGTAGACTTGTCACTGAAAACAAGTTCAGCTATCTCTGTGCTGTACTGAGGTCACTCTGTAGGTGTAGCCATAAAACAGGGAAGGCACAAAAAAACCTATAAGGAATGTGCTGTGCCAATGTCCAGGTACAAAACTCTGTGATAAGACCAAGGAAGAAGCTGGGGGGTTGTTCCTAAAAGTTCTTCATTGAGAAAATACCCTCCTTTTGTGGCCACAGAGCCCTGCCGGATCACACGTACTGTCTCCTATCTCAAGGCTCTTACCAAGAACACTATGAATAATGACTAGAGCAGGTATTTCTGTACTTTTTATACAATGTTTATTTAAATTAAAGAAATAAAACTTGTAATTCAATAAACATTCTGTCCCGCGTTTTTGTTTTATTGCCATAGGAGTTACACAAAGCAAGAAGAAAAGGATTTTGGCTTAGTAGTAAATAAGGAAGATACCACATTTCAAATGATGTGATTTGGGCGTTATCTAGACAATGAATCTTTCAGTAAATAGCTAATTATTGTATCCTTATGCAAAGTTCTTAATGTTTTCTCTAGCCCCGATTATTGTCAAATATGTTAAAAACAACTTCAGAAAAATAATTAAATCCCCATTTTCTTCTCTTTTTCAGCTATTGTGACAGGCTTTCTCTCTACCAATACAGAACAAGTCAGTCTCAAAATTCTGAGAAGTCTCCCCATATGGAATTCTTCTTAATTTCTATTCTGAAATACTCAGGTATGGTTTGTGCATTGCTCTTCACCAAAACCTGAGTAATTACCTAATCTTGCTGCCTTCATTAAAACTTTTGGGGCACAACAGCTGATTAAAATTTTATTAGAAAATGTTGTAAGCAGTAGGTGGATACACCTAGAAACGTCTCTTGTCTCCATTGCAATAGAAACTTTCTTCAGAAGTTTCCATGGGATAAGCACATCTTTTTCCTGAATTTGAGTATTGCTCCAGCGTATTTCCAACTACTAGATACTTTCTAAATTCAACCTTTTTGTCTTTAAATTATTGTTAAATCAGAACCAGCTTGAATTAATCTTGTAATACTTTAAACTTAAAAAGCTTTGCATTTCATTTTAGTGTATTTTTCTCAGGAATCATATGTTTTTAGCTTGTTTTATATCTTCACAAGCATAAAAACAAAAAACCCCAAACCCCGAAGCTTCCACTTCGGCACAGCAGGGGTTAGTCAGAAATGGCAGATAATACAAAAGAATTTTAATATATATATATTCACTCTGTTTCTCTCTCCCTAGCTTTTCCTTTGCCTCATATTTAGTATATTTATCTGAGGAATTAGTTTCAAGGATCACCTCATTTAAAAAAGTGTTGGTTATTGGAGGTTTGGGGTTGTAAAGTAGAAATGCTGTAAATTTTTTTATACAATGCAGTTTTGTGGATGAGCATCTTTCTGTATGATGCTGGATATAAGTTGCATAGCCACTAACCCGTATGTGGTATGTTGTTTAATCTTTTTATATAGTGTGAACTAAAAAACTTCATAAAAATAATATTTATCTATAGTAATGAATTAGTACAAGTAAACAATTGTAATTAGCATTATGATAGCATATTTCATCTTAGAAGTGCTCAGCAATGCTAATTAAATGGCAATTTAAAATTAGATTTTGCATTTTTTTATTTCATGAATTTGCATTTATATTCCATGAATTTCTACCAAATGACACTGAATTTCACAGAGGAGAAATCCACTTTTTGTATTGAAAAACTGTAATAAGCTTTTAAGAAGTGTTCTGGTCTAAGACTGAGGATCTGATGTGTTTTGCAGTCAGTTTCATTTTTACTGTTTTTACAAAAGCTTGTTTCTTTTCATAATATGCAGCTTCATTAATAAACGTTGGATAGACTGTACAGTCCCCTTTATATGCAATTACTTCTCCATCAAGAGTCAAAAATAGAGGATCACCATTGTTCAGTGGTTGCCAGTCTTGATCCTTAGAGAAAGAAAATAAATAGAATATATTTACTTTCAATTTTTTGTATATTTCATGTGATTTCTGAGTTTATGCTCAATAATTATATTCTCTCCAGTTCACAGCAAAAGCTTTTAAAATAATTCCTTTTAATCTTCAGTATATAATTTTAGGTTTCTGGCCTTCCTTTTCAGACTTGTATGGAATTCACTGGCAAAGGTGAAATAAAAGGCAACTGCATATGCTCACCGTTGACTAAAAACAGACCCTCATTTTAGAATCCAAAATTGGATTGATATTTTAGAATATAAGCTATCCTATTGCCTTATTCTTGTCAGTTTTAGGTTCAAAAGTGATGTTAGATTCAGTGAATCCCAAGTAAGTTACTGAAATTCTATATAACCTTAGTGACAGAACTTACTATAGGGAAGGTCTAAAGTATTCAATAAACTCATTGGCAATATTGTAATTTTAAATATTTACTATTAAAATATACTACAGTGTAGCAGAAGCAATGTAGGAATAGTTATAAAATGTCACAAATGGAAACTATTTTAGAATTTACCTGCAGTTTAGGGTGAATAATAGCAATAACTTCATCATTCTCATTCCTGGGATAATCTACTTTCTCCATTATTTTAAAAACCTCAATTGTACATGGTGGAAATTCCTTTCCTAGAAAGAATAAATGTCATTTAATGTCAGAATGAGCAACTGCCTGTTAAAAAGAACAATGCATTATTTATTCTCCTCAGAATGGCTTAAATCATTAGGTTGTACCTCGTCAAAGTTTACACACTAGTGATTAGCTCATATATCGTAAAAACATCTGGCTCCGGATTTTTTGTCCCTTCAAAGCCAAGTTGCAGAAAAATTGTCCAGTCATGTACTGTAGCATATGAAGCCCAGATCTAAATTTGGTGCTGAAATGTGACTTTTCACTATTTACTTCAAGAGATATATTTTGTAGATTATTAAATCAATGAAAGGCCTGTGTTTGATAATGCTGCACATTAAAATGGTATCAGTGCTATTTAATCTTTACCATTCCAGAACAATAATGGAGATTCTGACATGCACAACTATATTCTTTTCCTTCTACTTTCAGTAAAAGCCCACTGACAAAATGTACTCTAACAGAATTTTAAACACCTATTTTTGTCAGTATGTATTTTGGATAGTACACAGGCATAGCAAAAAATTACTTACAAAATGTATTGACTTCAATTTTAGATAGCAATGCACTGAAGGCATGTAAATTAAATGCTTCTTTCTTGGTATTAGTTTATGTATGTTCTTCATGTACATACTACTATA